TGGGGCACCCAATTGTCGAGCTTTTTCACCTTCCCAATGCGTTCCAGACCATTTGCAACAGTGGATTTGCCGAGGCCTAGCTCTTCTGCTATCTCTCAAACTGTTTGGCATGGGTCAGCCTCCAAAATCCCCCTAAAATCCTCGTCAGATATTGCTTTAGGTCGACCGCTATGAGGTTCATCTTCAAGGCTGAAATCTCCAGAACGAAATTTGTTGAGGCATTGCCGCACAGTGCTTTCTCTAGCACTATTGGGCCCCCACACCTGGTTAATTTGTTGAGCTGTTTCGATTGCGGATTGCCCCAATTTATAGTCGAAGAAAAAAATCGTCCGAAGTGCTCCTTTCACATGTTTCGAAAAGTCTTGAAAAAAGGGGGTTTATCAAGCAATGGTGAAACGGCAATTATTCCATCAGATAGCGCAAGAAATACTCTACAGGATGTGCTACTGAGAAGCAAGGTAGAATGAGTTTTTAATCAGCAGTGAATGTACAAAAAATAGGTGCACAAAACGCTGAGAACTTTCCGGACAACCTAATAGTAGGCTGGTAGAGATGGGGAGATAGTAGGGTGGCAGACTGCTGGTTGCTGTGGACGCTGGCAGGCGCTAAATCGATACATACAGTGCGTAACAAAAGTATGTGGACACCTCAAATTTTGATTTTGCGAAGTTGCATTTGGATTTTGCTATCTGAGACCATCACTGTTAGATTCCTCATAAGCGAAAGTATAGGAATGCACTACTTCTGAATACATTGTGAGTTACTGTTCAATTATTTATTGTTTTGAAAAAATTTCTTAATAACAAAAGTATGTGGACACCTGAGAAAATTCAAAGTTTGACCCCAAATCTGCAACCCATATCTATCGTCTCTGCTCCCCATTAATCTGTACTCATGCCTCGTCGTGGCAGTACTCTCTCCGAAGACGAAGTATCTCAGATTCGAGCTCTCAGTGCTGCTGGACACTCAAATAGAGAAATTGCAAGACAACTCGGACGTTCGGCGACGTGCGTTGGTAAATACCTCCAGAATCCTGATGGCTACCATTCAGCACATATTTCGGGGCGTCCTCGATCTTTGTCCGTAAAAGACATCAGAAAAATAGCGCGGGTCGCATCAAACTCCCCCCCTTTCTGTAGATAGATCCATGCTGCAATTAATCTACCGGTCTCAAAAATGACGACATGGCGCTATGTTCGATCAAATGAGCATATCACACGAGAGACCATGAAGAAAGCTCCACGCCTGGCTACCCAACGCCAACTGGCGAAAGTGAACTTCGCGCGTGCAAACATGGCGACGTCGTGGGACAAGGTGAAGCTTTTTGAGAAATTTGTAAAATCAGAAAGGCAACATCCCATGCGCTTTTCATTCCTAGGTTATCTTCACCTATAAAAAAAAGTCCGATCTCGATGGTCCAGATGGATATCGGCACTACTGGAGAGACCTTCGTCGCGATCCATTGCGGTTCTCGAGGCGAAATTTCGGAGGCGGCTCTTTAATGGTGTGGGGTGGTTTTGGAACCAGCGGAAAGTTAGAGCTCGCCTTCCCATCGTGCCGTATGAACAGTCAAAAATATCAAGGAGTGCTCGAATCCTACCTCTTGCTTTTTCTGAGTGGGCCACGACCCAGGACACATGTGCTGCAGCAGGACAACGCCGCCGTGCGTGTTTTCAATTCTTATAAAATGGCTCCAACGCAATGGTATCAAAGTGATGGATTGGTCGGTATGTTCTCCTGACCGGAACACAATCGGAAACCTGTGGGGAATTATGGTTCGACGAATATACATGAACAATCGGCAGTACAACAGCGTGCGAGACCTCAAGGAGGCTGTAGTGGCTGCATGGGATTAAATCGACGAAGACACTATCACAAATGTTGTCCACAGCAAGCCAGACAGAATGTTCGAAGTAATAGTGAACGCGGGAGAGAGCACCAAGTTTCAATTTCCATGATACTTTTGTTTTTTGTTAGGTGTCCACATACTTTTGTTATTAAGAAATCTTTTCAAAACAATAAATCATTGCTCAATAGTTCACAATGTGCTCGTAGGCAGTGCATTCCTGTACTTTCGCTTATGAGGAATTTAACAGTGATGGTCTCAGATCGCAATATCTAAAGGCAGTTTCGCAAAATCAAAATTTGGGGTGTCCACATACTTTTGTTACGCACTGTATACTTCCCCTAGCCCAAGAGACGCAGGTGGACGCTACTGGTAGTTGGTGGACGCTGCCTCAAAGTATGAACTCAGCCTGACTCTGAGAAGCGGTCACTAGACTGGAATCGATCCCACGAGAAGGAATGTGTCGAACGCCGCTATTATCTACTGCACTACTTCATCATGAAGAAGGGTTTCCAATTCAACCGAAATAATCTAGTTCAATAGTTCACAATCGAAATATGATTGATATTCTGCAACTGTAGCAATAACAACAGCATCTGACAAATAAACTTTAATAAGAAGAGCCTGTGAAAATAGAGTTCACTTAATATTAAATAAAGAAAATCATGACCAATTATTACTACGATGGAATGAGAGCGGCGCTTCCATCTTATAGCTTGGGAGCATCAATCCAAAAATATTATTCAAATTCTGCTGATATTTCTCTTTTAGGAACTATTCTCCGATTCCTACGACAAAAACAACCTTCCCAGTTCGAACTCGACAGAGGTTAGTCTGGATGTTTTATCTCAATTGATAATTTTCCGACGATACATACCTAGAAATCGCGAGAAGTAGAACAAAACGTGCTACAGGTTATCATAATACCCCATCTCCTCCTTTTGTGTCCAGTGTTCGAAAGCAGTACTTCTGATCAATGTGGTCAGGCTTCAGGAAGAGTAAAGCAGCGGGATGGGTTGAAAGGCAATGTCAGTGCGACCCCTCCCCAAATAATCATCTTCTGGGTCGACCTTCTTCCCAATTCCCTCCTGCCGTCATGCGGAACTTTTCCAGTTCTCAGCTTATTTTCAGGAATTTTTCCAATTCTTCCAAAAAAAAAGCTTATCCCGAGCAAAGCGTGGAGGGTTTCCTTCAATCAGCTATTATAATCAGCTATCAGAATTAGCAGTTCTATAGCTGCCTTGCCAAAGGAGGCGGTGGGTGGTAAAGGTAATTGAAACAATCCTATGTGAACTATGGATTTTCTGGCTGTTGATAAGTATCGCAAACCCAATTGCACATCCCTTGAATGCGGTTTTCTTTGTTGAATTTATTGTTGTGACGTGTTGCGAATTGAGACAACGTTTCGAAATCGCTACTTGAGTTTCGTCGTGCGCATTCTAGTATTCTTTTATCACCCACTGTTCAATATTATAGATTCTCTCTATCACCGGGAAAAGAGTAGGCGTGGCATTTGAACGTAGCATAGAATGGGTTAAACTTTGAGGTATTCCTTCGATACATGTCAGGTTAAACTTTGAGGTATTCCTTCGATACATGTCATCTTGTCCTGTGCTGAACAGAGACAAGACCACAATTGTGTCAAAGTGAGTGTATTTCTCCGAGAGCATATCCCTTGCCACGTTCAGTTAAAGTACTCAGCCACGCGTGCTGCATCTCACGGCCAGGGATTTCAAGCAACTTATCGCCTTCCACCCCAAAATACAGAAACGGGCCGTTTGTATGGTGTCGAGCCTTCGTAGCCACGAAGCTGCATATGCTAAGAGAGGTTAAGTCTCAACAGTAGTAGGCAAATTTCATGGTTTCTTCGAAGCAGTAAATCCGCTCCCACCCTCTTTGATAATCCATTTCGCTAAGAAAAAAAGAGTCGTTTTCAACGTTTCCAAGCTCTACATTCGCGTGCCCACTTCCCTCTCTTATGCTTGAGTACTGTCTCTCTTCATTCTGGATTTTTGCAGCCGTTGACGCGCTAGGAGGACCTATACGGGAACGCGCTTTTTGCCTGCAGATGTGGGCAGCACTTACTTCAAGTTATGCGGCTTGGACGCTGCGTATACCGATCAACCAGCTCAATGGTATCTAACACTTATAGCCTTTTCCAGGAAGGGGAGGGCGAAGGGGGGGGGGGAGCATTCATGATGCCACTTGAGATTTATTGCCAACTTCAATTGTAAGGTCATATCCCAATATGGGAGGCGGAAGTTGTGTAGTGAAAAGTGGCGCGCTTACCATCCGCGCTGTCCTGTTTCGCAACACGCCACAACAATAAAATAACAGAAAACCGCCGCGCCGCCTTCAATCCCGGGTCGGCTCGCACTCAGACCAAATCCCTCCACCCTCCAGGGACGGCAACTTGGTACCAGAATCGTCTGCGAGGATAACACTGACTTATAAATCGGCTGGTCCCCGTAAGTCATTCTATGTATAGGTCACATCGCATTCAATAAGCCGCTATTATTCTGAATGGAAGTATAAGAATGCGTGCCGCATCCCACAATGGGACTGACTAACAGCGAAGAATTTATCCTTTTATCTTTCATTCCAATATGGACGGTGGTTCCAAGCAGTATGGGTTACTCGGTCTCTTGATGAATGACATGTACTTCAATAAGGGCTTAAAGAGTCAGAATTGACTGAGGCAATCGATCTCGATGAAAAATTATAAGGTTCAAATTCACCACTGACGAGAATGACTACGTGTCACGAGACCCAAGTGATAGGTGGACCAGAAGTTGTGTTTTGCGACCTCGGCGCAGGCTACTTGCGGGGCAGGAAACCTATGGCTTCTTACTTTAGTCATGGTTGGGCATAATTTCTTACTTTCCCTAGCAGTATCTCGAGGAGTGTATCGCTGAAAATTTCTGAAGAACTAAAAAATGGTATAATATAACTTTAGGTGTAGAGCCAGCAAACAGGGGTGTGAATTATTTCATTATTGATGGCTGACCGTGCTTGCGATGAAGGGAATCCTGTACCCTTGAAAATCGAATTCGGGAGGAATGAGGGGCCGTCCACGATATAAGCCTCGTTTATCGTTGAATTTCCCAGACCATTTCCCCCAAGCTCCGCATTTTTAGAAAATAAGCAATTTCAGGTGATAGTTGAGCTCACCGTCCAGTCAATCACGGAAATCAGTGAATTTTCAAGCAGTTTCAAAGCTGATGTATGGTTTTCACAAATATGGCGAGATCCACGGCTTGATTTCACCGATAGAAACTACTGTATAAAGAACATTTCGTTAGCTGCTCACAAATTACCACAATTATGGTCACCAAATGTTTGTTTTGTAAACAGCAAAAAAGTAAGTCAATGGTCTGTTTTTGTAGCTACGGCTATTTTGCGATCAAATTATACTATTAAAAATTTTCAGGTAGAAATTCATGCGTCCCCCTCTCAAAATATCCTTTTACTGGTGTTTCCGAATGGAACCGTATGGCTGAACTTTCGTGTTTCACTTATTGGACCGTGTAAACTCGACCTCACATATTTTCCAATGGACCGACAGTCTTGTAATTTGGTCTTCGAGGTAGGTCAAAAGTTTTCGAGTGGGGAGTTTTACCCCCTCCTTCCAGCCCATCTGTAGACAGGGTGCAGCATCGTGGGATCCCAAAGAGAGTCGTAGTGAAAAGGGGTCCCATGTGGTCTTGATAAAAATTTGTCCAAGCCATTAGAAAATTTTCCGGTCTCATCCTTCTCATGTTCCCTATCTAAGCCCGTTCCGAAAAATTTTTCCGGTTTCTCTCTTTTGATGTTCCTATATTCCCCCCTATTTTTGAATAAGAATCGAAAAAATTTTTTTGGAAGAGCGAGGAAAGAGGTAGCAAGTTGGAAAAACTTAGAAGAAGGTAGGTAGTATACGGAGGGGAGATCATATCAGATAAGGGAAAGGGGTCGGGGGGTTTACAAGGCTATTTCGCACATCATGATGGTTTGCGCTGTCTACGAATGGTCACCTGTCTGAAGGCACACATCACGCAGTTCGCTTGGGCGGGATCGCTTAGACCGTAATGCTTGAACAGCCTCTATGTCATCTTAGAAGGAAGGGCCTATCAATGAGATGCGCCCACCTGTTCTAGAGGGCCCCTCCTTCAAAACCGGGTATTGTTGTGACTACCGTTCGATACGACGCTACCACTCCGGAAGCGTCACTTGTTGAGACAGGGATAGGAACCCTACTCCTGGGTAGTAACACATCCTACCGGAGAAACCGATCGGATGAGTGTTCGAAGCATGAGTTCCGAGACAAACATGGCTGAAGAGGAGAATTCAGCTAATTTACAAATGTGGCATAGGCCATGCACTCGACTTGCAATCAAAACCTTATCGAGCGACAGACAACTTCTTTTCTTGCGCTTCTTTCTTAACTCTTTTATCACCAAGTGAAGAAGAGCGCTGACAAAGCAACTTCTCTTCTCAAACAGCTTAATTAAGATACTAGGGAGTGATTAGTAATTCTTCGCAATTCAGAGTTATTCATACAACACAGCTGAAGTGCGCATTGTGTGGAGGGATTGGGAACCAGTTTCCATACCTGATCCGAATTCAAAAAATCTACCTGATTTCGAGCTGGTTCAGTTCATGTAAGTTGACACTTCTTTACATCGACATGGTACTAGTGAGGTCACCGTATAAGTACAGTATGACACTCGAGCTTACCAACCGTTTAGCTGCACCGTTGCCTGTGGTGTATTTCGCCGTAAGTTCAATAACATTAACTATTAATGCTCATGCTTGATGATGCGGCTGGCCCACGCCTCCCCTTTTTAATTATTTTCTTTTCTGTTGGTGTTCTTGGTTTCAATCAAGAAGTAATTAAAGCCTTGGGCATACCCTCTATCGTGTTGAGCGTGAGGAATTTTAGAAATTTTGCGAAGGGGACAGTAGTTTTTACAGTACCCTCATAGGTTCCTTCAGTTATTGAATGCTTTCCCGTGGGCGCCTGTTTCACTGAGGTTCGCGTGGCCACCGGACTACGTACCTGACAGAAGCAGACAAGAAAACCGATAAAAAAAACAAGAACAAAAAAGCAAACCCGACAAAAAATTCTTTACGTTCCGTGCAGGAACGGAGTATGTAAGGGTGAGTATTCCAATACCGCAGAGTATCCAATACCGGTCACTTTCAATGAGTTCGAAAAGTCTTTGTTTCGTTACCTGCACAGGGGTTGATTGCGTTTCCTAGTAACTCAAATTTTATTCTTTGTTTGCTCCTTTTTCGTTTCATGATTTGTTGTTGTTCACTTTACATGTTGCAAAACATGTAATAACGTTCAAAAGTTAACAGTGGTTTGAGGGGAATCGATACCATCTCATCGAAAAACAACTCCTGAAAAGCGTGTTATCGTTGGCAAGCTTTGTTAGCTGGGCCCTATCCCACTCACCGTGGTCTTTGGCCATGTGGGGAAGCGGCTAGCAAACTCAAAAGTTGCGTCGAGTTTGCGGCTCCACGGAACTTAGGCAGAGCATGGAGCATATTGAGGTCACTAACAAGGGAGGTCGTTGAGGCCGTGGTGAGCTTTTTCAAAACGGTTTGTGGCATTGTTGTAGGAGTCCATACAAGGGCCACACAGGTGGGTTTCATTTTTGTCAAAACGCTATGGGGAATGGCAAAAAAGGATAAAAAACAGAAATCGCTTAAAATACGCAAGTTTTGACATCTCATTCGCATCTGTTTCAGGTGTAAAGGCAGAAAACATAGAGTTCACGAAGTTTTTCTTCAACTAGACATGAAAAGAACATTGAATACGTAGTCGACATACAGGTCTTTACTTGACATACAGTGAGGTACACTGCAATTTCTTTAGGGGCTTATGCGCATCCCTTCGCGCTCGCAGTGAGCCTTTTTAGCGCCACGCGTAGCGCCCCAATCACGCCGGAACGCCATAAATAATTGTCAGGCAGTGTATCAGAGCCATGATTACCCCTATTTAAGAGTTTCAGCGAAAAATTTTTTTCCGAGTTTTTTTGGTGGTCATGGCTTGACCATTTTGGATGGCAGTGGCAGTCCGCCGGTCAAAGTTAATCAGGGTAGGCGTGAGGGAACAGTGTACCAAATGTAGTTTATTGAATTTGCACTCCTATTGGAGGCACGTAATTTCTCTCTCACGCTTCCGTTGAAATCTGTGTGGTGGAGTACAAGTAGCTTGATCGTGTTAGCCTGTTTCCGAGAGTTTGGGTAACGACGTTTATTAGACTAACAACGTCTTACGAGACGCAACATCTTCCTTCGTTCGCGCACGCTCCTATCTATACTAGATGAATGGGAAGCTCGTTATCCGGGCACTCCAATCTAGACGTTTCAAAGCTACTTGTCTAACTTATCTAATACTTCATATGGTTGCGAGATTACTTGAAAGCGCTGTTTTAAGGCTGGGGCCCTAATTTCCCACTCACCCTTGGCTATGAGGCGAGTCGTTCATGAAAGGGAGCTAGATATATACCGCTTTCCAAATGGATGCTCAATAGAACTCGTCATGTTCGCTTCAATTGATGGATTTTGCGTGTGGTACCCAGAGCGGCTGTTTTTTGTACTCCGTGGGGGGGAGAAATGACTGAGCGGGAGCCTGTGCCTTTCGCGACATGTCATTATTCCGGTCGCGAGTTCCGCTCGCGCGCCCTCAAACGATTCAATAATGTTAAGGGGGTCTCAGTTGTTTCACCTGTGAAGGGTGGTTGACAACCGTTCAGAACTTGTATGTCAGGGCCAGGGTTAACCATTCGAGGGGGTAACTTTTCCGACGGTCCCGTGAGAACTCTAAACAGAGTTGGCGGGGGGATAGGAAGAATCGACGGACGGTTGCCGCCAATACGTTAAGTATAACCCTCGTACAGCTTTGCGACGTTAACTCTCAGTGAAGTAAGTGGCTGGAGGCGTCACTCTCTCACTAAAGTGCGAGCCCAGTTGAACCCATGCGCGCGACAGAGCGCCTCCTCAGCTGTGATGGTATTCCCATCAGGCCAGGCGAGGAGGGGTGGGGCGGAGAGGGGGGGGGTTTGCGATGTTTGGGGGGAGTTTTCCGTATTTTGGGGGACGGGCCGGGTTTTTATGTGAGCGAGATTATTGTTGTACTGGATAATCGCTCTCTCTCTTTGTGTACGGCGGCATTATCATCATCGCTTCGGGCGAGAGGCGTTGAATGCTGGGACGTCTGTGTTTGAGGGTGCAGAAGGAGCGTGGGTTTGGTGTTTTTTACTGGGGGTTGGGTGGAATAAAATCTCAAAAGATTTTATTTCCACAAAATTATAAAGGGGATTGAATGAAAAATTGAATTATTAAATCGCCAATCCATCATTACGCAAAAAAACTATAGAAAGAGTAAGCAAGATAAGGGGTAGTTCATTGTGTGTAGTGCCAATGGTGTCGTATGCTAGCAGAGCGCGCAATTGGGGGGCCGTGAGGTTCGTATTCACCTCGTGGGGGAAATTTCATACATAAGTGGCATATAATTAGGACAACGATGCACGTGAACCAATAATGTCTAGGTTGACGCATGGGAAAGCCCAAATAATTAACCTTTCATTTCTTCTTCTATAGCGAGAACCGCAAGACCATTGTGGATATGCGACCGGGATAACTGGATAGGGAGATAGACAGTGAGTACCGTGAGGGCTTTTCTATATAGGGGGAAAAATTTCTCACGATTCCCGCAGCGTTTCACGGCCTCGCCGATTGGCCAGATACCGAGCTAGTTTGCGGTTCGTAATTGATATTATCTACATGTTCCATAATATATCTGCTGACTCCTTATTCTCATGCAAGATCAACTAGTATTTCGGTCGAATCACTGAATTTTTCCATTTCGTTAGTTACTCTCAGACATTGGCGGGTGAAGTGTGAGGCGGGCCGACTTTATTAAATTAGGAGGCAGGGCTTTCGAAATACGTAAGTAGTAGACAGTTTACAGGGCTTGAGTCTCGTTTGGCATATTTTTACCGCGAGACAAATTATGGCGTGTGTGCGCCGATAAAGCTTTCGTGGACTCTCCATAACACTACGACTGAGCACTGGAGGAGAATGATAGACAGATCGTATCACCTGAAGTCGTATCATCACTGGGAAAGTCTCCTCACATGTCTGTGAATAGTGTCGACATTACAGGTGCCCTACTATGATTAAGTACAGTGACGGTACCACCTTTGCATTTCTTTAGGGGGCTCTTATTGCAGCATTCCCTTCGCGCTTCGGCAGTGATCTTTTAGGGCCCACGGCTGGCCCCAGATTCACGTCGGGGCGCCATAAATAAGTTGTATCAGCGGCGGTCGTGATGTCAATCCATGCATTAACCCCTATTTTAAAGGTTTTCAGCGAAAGAAAATTTTTTTTCCGGAGGTTTTTTGGGTGTCATGGGCTTGACATTTTGGATGGCAGTGGCAGGCGGAACCACTCATTGGTAACCTCTCTGGCAGACAGACCGCCAGAAATTTTTCATTTCTTGCCCCTCAACTTCAGTAGGTCTTCATAGAACATCTTGCTAGCTTCGGAGCCACTAAACGAGCATCCTGGATCTTTCTTCACTTTTACCATCTATGCTTTCGACAAAGAACTCATTACCACTTGCCCGGAGAAAGTTTTTTGTTTCTTATATCGGCACTATTTACCCTTTACTGCCCCAGTCATCTAGAATCAGGCCAGTTCCTGACCGACTTTTTTCTCCGTGGACAGAATTTGATGAAAACTTGGCTCCAGGGGTAGTTCGACTCGCTGAACACAAATATCGCATCCGCTTAATCCGAAACCCTCTGGCGCCCGCGCCACGGGCGCTGGCGCCAAAATAGTCGAAATCACCAAATCCGCTGAAAACTTGCTCCCAGGGGTGGTTTGACCCCTGATCACGAATATCACATCCGCTCGGCGCAAAACCTCCTGCCGCCCGCGCTACAGGTGCTGGCGCCAAAACACCTCAGATCACCGGCGCCTGTGGCGCAGGCGCCAGGAGGTTTCGGGTAATGTGAATGTCATATTCGTATTCAGGAGGTCAAAATACCCCAGGAGACAACATTTGAGCCAAGTCTGTCCACGGAGAAAAAAGTCGGTCAGAAACTGGCTCAATTTGGGATTGTTGGGGCAGTAAAGGGTATAGTGCCCTTATATCAAAGGTATGAGAGGAGTGCAGTGTATGCGCGTCACTTTTTTTTGTGTAGTTTTTAATTCTGCGTCTGCATCAGCAAATGAAAAGCTTCCTCTTAGCGATGTTGGATAACGACTCCTTGGGGGGAGGGGGGGCTGACAGCCACTAGCTGGGAGACATGGCCGGCAACATAACACAAAAAGCTCGGGAAAATTTTTCTCGGCGTCACTCTGTACGTAGGGGTAATTGATGGTCCTGATCACTGTTGAGATACTTATTTTTGCTGCGGAGGCCATCTGGGTTCAGTATGGCGCTAAATAACCCCGCCGCGCAGACTGACAATGATGGTACTACGAGAAAGCCTTTGCACCAAATTAGCGACACATTGCGCCATGTTCAAAAATGAGTGTCATGTTCATGATCAGAGCATCGGATAACCGTCGTAACCCAAGTTTCATGAAGAGTTTTTTCGATAGTATTTCGCGAGCGTAATAATTGAGTGAGGCCTATTTGTGAACCGTTCCCGCAAGGAGTGTGCCTTCAGATGGTGTATATCCGGGTCATACACATTATGGGGCATACAAGAATACAAGAAGCAAGAAATGTGAAAAATGCAAAACTGTGCTGGCGAGGGGATCCGATCAATAAACCCCTCGACCGAGAGCCCGTCACGCTACCCACCACACCACTTGCCATGCGTAGCTGGAGATACAGCACCTGTTGAAGAAATGGCGCAGATGACTGGAAAAGTCCAATGCTCCTCACTCCAGGCCAAGTAGACCATTTGGATTTTGACCTTATATTGCGCTGTTTTTCATGCCTGCTCAAAGGATACCCTACATACTATACCCAGTCAACGCTAAAGCTAGAACAGAGGGGAATAAGGTGGTTTAAAAGGCCCATTCTTTTCAAATTGTTTTGACCTTTTTTTTGACATTCCCGGAACCTTTGACAAAAATGAACCCCATCGCTATGGTCCTCGCATGGACTCCTACAACATGCAACAAAAGTGAAAAAGCTCACCACGGCCTGAACGACATCCCTTGTAAGGCCTCCTTTCGCACGAGCCACTGCTTTGAAATGTAGGTGAAAAAGTTAGTTGTTAGTAAGCAGTTAGTTAGTAAGTTGAAACTCTCCACCCGCGCCATGGCCAGGGCGTCATAATGTACACTCCTTATCCTTGAGCCAGAGTAGGCGTGGCATTTGGGCATGGCACGGAACTGGTTACTCGTGGAATATTCCAGTCTGGGACAACTGTCATGTTGTTCTGTGTTGGATAGAGACACGACAACAAATGTGTCAAGATAGAAGTATCTCGCCAGAAGCATAGACACCTTCACGTTGAATTGAAACATGCGGCCACGCCTACCGGATCTCAGGGATTTTGGGTATACATATAGAGATCTCCAGCGAGAGGGTAGCTATTTGGTAGCTGGAGCAAGGGAGGGGGTCGTATTAGTCTTTGAGAAAAGTGTTTTCGTTTGTTGGCTTTTCTCAATTTTCCTGTTTCCGTGCGCTACATACTCTCGCTTCTCTCACTCAACCGCGAGTTTTCAGGTAAATACTGGATTCTGTGGAAGGAACTCCAGGAAAGGGGCAGGAATTTGGAAGAATTCATTGAGATCGGAGGTGGGATGTGAAAAGGGGGGGGGGGCAGGTCGGACATGAGAGGAAAATATAAAGGGGTCGTGTGTCGCAAAAAAACGTCCCCAGCAGCAGGAAGAGGCCTGGCCATGACGGCACGGAGAAATATGTTCTGGCCGTGTGGTATATTCACTGTCGGTATAACGCATGTTGTCTTGCGGTCTACATCATTTCATTCTGAATAACAAGGGCTGGGGGGTCTCAGGTTAGGGACCGCTTATTCAAACGGTCAATTGCCTGCGGTAGGAGAACATACATGTCGCCTAGGCAAGTTCCGCTAAAGCGTGCGACAAAAAAAAACGCTCCATGACCTGAAAGAGCCTCTTTGAGGGCTGTTTTGCCTTCTTCATATGAACTGAAGTGCTATTCACTTTTTGTAGAAGACTCCCTCATCCCGATTCCTGAGAAACTCTCGAAATTCCTGATCGTTTCTTCTGTGCAGCACAACATCAAACTGAAATTACGTGTTGAAACCAAATTGTCAAAATTACAGGCACCGTAACGCTACATTAGTGTATACAGCTGGGCTGTGGGATCAACTGGAAGTGGAATTCACATTCAGAAGACTATATGGGTACTATGTTCTTCAGGTATGTGGGCGTGTCTTCATTACTTCGGCACATCTTTTCTACTGCATTCATTGTATTAATTTGTTTATCACCTGGGTTTTTTCCCATACCTTTACTTCTTCCACTTTGGGGAGGGTTTCGGAGAGCAAGTCCACACTATAATAAGCCTTATTGTTGTGCTCTATGATGGATATGCATAAGGAAACCCTTAGTTTGGTGGTAGAGTTAGGCAGATGTAAAAAGATGGCCTACATAGGCTACCCAGTATGTTCAGCAGATAATATTAAGCGATAATAATCACATATAGTGTACCCAAACCATTTGAAACGAATTCATACACCAAATTAAAACTGTGAGGGTCCAAGTACTGTAACGAGTAAGCAGGTGCTCAAAAAATCGAATTAGCGCAGTTAACTGTGATAAATGGTATGCAATCGTATTTGAACACCGCATTTACATGTTCCCTTGGATTGACATCATCCGGAACCAGGCCAGCTTTCCACCGGCTTTTTTTCGTTGGCGGAATTGGCTGAAAACTTGTCTCCTGGAGTAGATTGATCTCCTGAACTCAAATACATCACGTCTACATCCGCTAGGCCGGAAACGTCCTGGCCGCCAACAGGCACCAGCGCCAAAATAACGTAGAACACCAAACTCGTTGAAAACTTGCCCGTGGTGGTAGTTTGGACTCCCGAGCACGAATATCACATGTATGGAGTGTTAAGAATGTTTACTATGGAGTGGTGGGAGTGCACGTGACAGCCCAACCTGCTCCTGCTCGTCTGCATCCTTCATCCCAGGCAGGGATCCCCTCCTCTGCTAAGTCTCATCGCTTCCCTAACTGCCCTGGCACATCGCACGAAAGCGACCGGTCTATGCTACACGCGCCGGAGTTGTACAAGCTGCGATGAATCGCTTCTGACGTATGCAGGCAGGCGGTTTCAGTCTGAACGGATGTTGCCTTCGTGTTTAGTAGGTCAAACTACCCCAGCTGAAAAGTTTTTAGCGAATTTTTTGTTTTCGAGTATTCTGGCGCCGGCGTCGGGGCGCAGACGCCAGGAGGTTTGGTGACAAGTGTATGTGATATTCATTGTTCAACGAGGTCAACTACCCAAGGGAGACAAATTTGAGGTAGTTCTGCCCATGGAAAAGAAGTCGCGTCAAAAACTGACCCGATTCGGATGAGTGGCGCAGCAAAGGGTAAACACAATGCAAGTTTCGGGAAACGGCAAGAGAATCGTAAATTGCGTGCCGTCGCAATGAGCGCCGCACGTTTCCTTAATCTCGCTACTCTTTTGAAATGAAGCACCGGACATCAATGTAGACAAAGGGAATGACAAACACGTATGTCTATTTATGGTCATACATTGTCTATTCTTGACAAACCACCTAAAATCGTCGCGCCGATCGTCGCACGCGAACTCCGCTGACGCAGCAAGTTACGATTCTGTTGCCACATACCCCAATTTTCTCATATGCTTCTTACATCACGTTGATCGAGGATGGGCCAAATTTCTGCTGTGCTCCCTAGCTCCAAGCAACAGATCTCCGACATACTGAGTTCTTCCATTACAGTCAGTACCTCACAATCAATCTAGCGGTTCCGAGAGAGATTGAATGAGCCCAACGACGGTGTTCCCATTACTGGTTATGGTTTCTTGACCAATCACCACTGATAGAACAAGGAAATGGTGATTGGATGAGGACAAGCTCATCTCGCCTTTCTGACACCACCACCGGTTGCGACCTTTCTTCTTGAAATATTTTGACCATTAGTAATTTAGGCCTACATGCCGACTTATCTTTCTGTCTTCATTTCGTGGATAGCGTTTTGGATTGACACCAAGGTGATTTTTCTTAATGAATAATATGTACATTTAAAGTTTTATTTAGTTTTGTTCACAATTTTTAGGCATTACCCGCAAGAATAACCCTTGGCGTCTCATCGCTCATGGCTCTGACCTTCCAATTTGGTAACATTGTAAAGAACCTACCAAGAGTCAGCTATGTGAAGGTAGTTTAGCATCAAGTTCCTTTTCTGCACTTAATTATGTATATCCGATAAGGTGCGGAGGTCAATTAGTTAGGTGTCAACTGGTCGTGAGAATTTGAGGGTCATTATCCATATCCCTCGGTATCTGGATTGCGTTGATAGGTTAGCACATTAGAAAAGCTGCGGTATCCTCTTGAATATCTCGAGTTCATTCTTCTTGAAAACCTTTTTTTTCCTAATTTTGTTTTCCCTGTTACTGTCCACTTTTCCTTGATAAAGGATTGACTCATGTTTACCTGACTGCGAGGTACCCTTGTAGATTGGATGCTAAAGAATAATAATCGTGCTGGCTTGGACCTTGTCTGAACGCTAGGGTATCATCGGCTCCACTTCCGTTCTTCAACGAACCTGCTCTTGCACTTCTACACATAAAAAATTGGGATACAGTACCAGACCCGAGCAAGTCCGTCAGGCTACAGAGGAGTTTGGGATGAACTCAACAAGCTGTTTGATGAGCAGCAAACAAAGATTGTCGGCAGTGAGTATGAGCCCACGGACGAAGAGCTCGAACGTCCATGCTATCGTCCATGCTTGGAGTCAGACGAAGTCGAGGCCCTGAATGACAGATTTGAACACAACTTTGGCTTGAAGCTAACGCTTTCGGTTTGGTTTCACGGTTTGCAAAGAGGAGGCTGAACTGAACCCTTGCGTCCGCCTAAATAACGCAATCTTAGCGCGTTGCCTCAAACTTCATTAGAAGCTGAGTTTTTGGAAAGCCAGTGATGTAAGATGACTTTGACTCCCTATGAATTGATCATGGACAGATAAAAAGGGTTACTTACAACAGGGAGACCTTCCGATCCCAAGAATCTACCGCCACTCTCTTCACGGAAAACAGATCACTCCCTCTTTCATGGGGCTCTCTTGTATCAGTGCTGACCTTTACAATTTATTCGCACTTTTTTTTATTTCAGCTGGTGGGCGGTTAGTAACAGTTTAGAGTCTAGCAAACCCTCACTGTTTCAGGCTCTCGACATCTGGATGTTTGGTTGCGTAGGATTCATATTTCTTTCTCTCGTTGAGGTACGTAGTTGCTGCTCAATTTTTTTAACCAATCTTTCTTTATTCTAGATAGTCTTTGCTAATTGTTAATCATAAGATTATGTTTTAACCATGATTAAACTGGTATAGGTGTTTCCGCTGCAGACGCTGGGACGTGTCAGGGGGCGGCGTCGGCCCGTCATCCACCATCTGTTGTCGCTTGTCCTCTTCAAAAACTGATGGAGAACGGACTAGCGTCCCAACCCGGTCACCCTGACACGCCCCAGCAATTGCAGCGAAAACGACGATACGTATCCGCTTCTACTTCTACGTGCTGTAAACAGGCACTCTACTGATACAGTACGGTGGTCTGTATCGATTTCTCATACATGATCCTTTAGTTAGCCGTTGTTGGTTTTGCTGACAAGTTAGATGCGAAACGGAAACGCTACAGTAGATCTATGGAACATGCGGTGATGCGGAGTGATTCCGAGTCAACAATGGCTATCAAGGCTCCAACGGACTCATTTCACTGAAGGTTTGATCGAATGCCATTCTTAGCAGTATTGGTATCCAATATTGTAACTTTAGTCGTCGATAACCGGAGTCCATTAGCTACTGGTGTACCGCTACTAGTAGCACCCGAGGGCAACGGTAACACGCAGAGAAAGCGATCGGAGGAGAAAAGCCGGCGGATGTACGTACATGTTGAACATCCTGTTCACGTGAACGGAGAGAGGATAGATGAAGTGAGTTCACTCTTGTGAGTACATGCTGAGAGCTCCTGCTACAGTCCAAGTCTTGACACTGTGGGGAGTATTTGTGGACCTGGTCGTGAGCGCGGTGGCGGTAGACAGTAGCCGATTCAGACAGTGAGGAGTGGGACGTTCATAGACATCTCCTCGTTCCGCCCAAGTATTTGCCCTAATGGGCAGGAGCCTACCGTCACCGTGCCGTCAACCAGACATCGAGGCCCTCCCCCTCCGCCAGCACCGAGATACGGGCTGCTCGCAGAAGGCTGCGTTCAGACACCCGACGACGCTCATCGTCCCACTAACGCTGCAATCGCGCTCCAATACTATTAACATAGACGGCTATTGATCGGCGCTGGCCGCTAGTGCTTTGAGAGAATATAGGAGAGGGTACCAGACTGTATCATTAGGCGTTACATAATAGTGCGGCAACGTCCACCAACGACCAATAGCGCCCAGCAGCCGTCAGCGACTAGGAAAGTATAGGTATCGCTCTAGCGTCTGCCAGCGTTCGCTGGCGTCCACAAGTGTCCACCAGCAGAATCTCGAGAGCTAGGGAAGCATAGGTATCGCTCTAGCGTCTACCAGCATCCACCTTAAACCAGCAGCAGACTGCTGGCAGAGAGTATGCGGGCGATAGGAGAGTGCCAGCTGTCTGCTACCCTCCTATCGCGCCACACTCATCACCAGCAGTCTGCTTCCCTAGCTATCCCATACTCTACAAGCGGCATGCTACCCTCCTACCGCCCCATACTCTCCACTCCCGGACTCTGCTGGTAGCTGCTAGACACTGGCAGACGCTGACAGACGCTAGATCGATACCTATGCTTTCGTAGTTGCTGACGCTGCGGGACTCTCGGAGCTGGTGGACGCTACTGTTCGCGAACACCTCCACAAAGTATAAACGCAGCCTTACAACGCCTACACACACTGTCTTGTACTCTTTTGCTCTCCTATACTCTATCAGAACACCAGCGTCCGGGGCCGATCGATACCCGTATATAGCTGCGTTGCCGGTCTTTGATGCCTTCCCATATACAGCATCAGAACGCCATTAGATAGCGCTCAATGCAGCTTGAGGCCCTGCTCGGGGCCCATCATTAGGTTACACTGCCTCTGAGGCAGCCATTCCACTATTTGAATTCATTACATGATGGCTGAGGTTCAGATTTCTGCGAAGCTGTTCCCTCTGCTTTTCACAGCTTTCAATATTTTCTACTGGTTCTACTACATTGGGATGTCAGGAGGAATATTCTGAATGAATGGCCTTTTTTGTACAAATTGCCTATCTTTTTGCCTATTTGACGGCGAAACTTATCATTTTTAATATCATTCATCAATTTACGTTTAGACTATGATCATTTATGATATTGTCAATTGTCACTTTGATTGGGTATGAATAAATGGATTCTATTATTCTTCCCGAAATGATTCTTTATGGGAAAAACTCGTAAATGACCGATTTCTCTGAAGGAGGGATACAGCAAGCCAAATAAGCCAATTAGGACCTTTACCTTTGTTCGCTTTCGAATGTTAACAAAATAAGGGTAATGGTCAGAAGATCTAGGTAGCTTGTGGCTGCTCTTCCAGGTCAACTTTTTCCATTTTTCGGTCTTTGTGCTACCCTTGATGAAGTGCTCAGAGACACTTGTTTGACCCCGCCCACTTCGGCGCACACGCCTACCACTGCAAAGGTACAGTCGTCATCCGGTGACTTGATTATTGCGGCAAGGGACGCGGCGCGGTTGCGGTGTGTTGGGAGCGCGGCGCTCACCTGTTTCCAGCCCATTTTAGTCATTTCTCTCTCTAGTTTACGCTGTTTTGGCTGCTTTTCGCACGACTGGTTGTTTCTTGTCTTCACAAGTTGAATTATGATTAAGATTCTCCTGGTTTTTACGTACAATTAAACAGTGAAGCAGACAATCGAACAAATAGCTAAAAAAAATCCGCGAAAACATTACTGCAAGACAAAGAAAACACTCCTCGTCTTGTATAGACGATAGAACAACTATCCTCAAAAAAAATAGAAAATAACAGCCAAAACAGCGTAAACTAGGGAGAAAATGGCTAAAATAGGCTGGAAACAGCTGATCGCCGCGCTCGCAACACGCCGCAGCCGCGTTGCATCCCTTGCCTCCCAAATCAAGTCACTGGATGACGACTGTATGTAGCCAACCACGAAACCGCCGCTCACCTTCCTTCAATAATCATCGATTCTTGAATGCTCCGAAACAAAACCCTCTCGGTAATGACTCTCATTCGTTGTTAGTTTTCGTTTTCTCCACTGCGATGCACGTTCTACAAACCGTGGACGGCGTACAGTATTGTTCGCTGCGGATGAAGGCACCTGTCAGCGAGGCCGGGCTTGGCACACCCCCAGCTCACTCTCGCCGCTTTATACTCATCCCTTCCTTGAGAGGCCAAACCATCCGCAGCGGACAAGATTGCAGTCGTGATCACTAACAACGATAGGGCGCAGGACGGCGGCGTGGCTTGGAACCCAGCCAAAGCAGATTTTTCTCCAACTGTGGCGGACGGAGGATGACATCATTCTCGGAACAAGGCCACCTGGATGCGCTGCCAGCCATTAAACGACCAATCATACACTGCATGGGTATGTGATGATAGGACTACGTAATGTCGCACGCGACAGCTGCAGATACCGTACATTTATGATCATTTATGAGCTCAGTAATACGGCAATAAGTAAGTCTCTGAGAGTGTGCTGCCAGAAAGCACTGCGATAAGTTTAGAAATTCTATCATAACTGCGATAAGTGATGAAGGAAGAAGGTAACCTCAAGTGACTCGCGAACAGAATCTTCACGCTATAATTGCTTTGTAAGCACTCCAGTTGCGTAAATGAAAGAAAATCTAACGGCCTGATGATCCTGGTCTCACTAGAGTGAAGGGCATGGCTGAAAACTGGAGCCAGCAAAACCTTTTTGATAATGCAAGAAGTTTATTGTGGGCTGCGCTCCATTCCAAGCACGCGGTGTTCCAGATTACTGCTCACGGACGTCGAACTTCGCGTGGTTGCGTGGTCTTAAAGACTGTCTCCCCACTGTATAGCTCATGTGGGCTCCGCAATCATAAGTGGCACCACATGTCCAGGTGAATCTTTGCGTAATGGGGAGTTTCGTGGCAGTCACACAAGCAGACAAAAGAAACCGTTCATTTAGGTGGCCTGTGAAATTACTATTGAGCATTCTAAATGCTAACTCTTTGTTAGTTCACGCTGAGAGGTGAAAGTTCATTCTTGCATACAGTGCCTAGATCCGCAGTGGCACGATGTGCGCCATTTCGCCACTCTAGGGTTTCAATGAAAACGCAAAGCGCTTGTGATTCGAGCTCGATCACGCCTTTTCTGAGGCGGCGTTCAGGCTTCGCGACGGCAGCGTTTCGGTGGCGCGTTCGACGCGATCGATGCAGTCGAAAGCATGCACATCGATCGCGCCGAACGCGCGCTGCCATCGCGAAGTCTGGACGCTACCTAATCCATCCCCATCCATATAAGGAACGTGTGCTTCTTCCCGTCTGCATCTCTCGTGACTGTGTGATCGTCTGGTGCTCAAGTTCAGCCGCCCCCCCCCCTCCCCCTTTGAGCCGTTTTCAGGAGCAGCTGCCGTTTTCTTCTCTACTCAAATAGCAAAAACATGCAAACAGTTGGCTCCCAATATCCACTACGTGGAAAAGTTCTGTGTGTATTTGAGCCCTCCGAAATGGCGATCATGAAGTCCGAGCACAACATTGAGGAGAATGATAGATCGTATAGCATCCTTGAACTTCGCTTTTATGATAGGAAAAATCAGGAAATTGAAAGTTTTTTGAAAATCGGGGAGCAGCTCTAATGGCGAGGCACTATAATAAATTCACAGCGCAGGCTGCAGATCGAGGGTTCTGTATTTTTGTGAACAATGGAGACAAAAGTGGCCCCGGTAGCGTAATAGGGAACGCAGCTGCACGGAAAGCAGAGGATGCGGGTTCGAATCCCGTCCGTGGTCCGACTTTTGCCCATAACTCAGCATTCTTGTGATAGCTTTCGGATCGCGCACTGAGGCGTTAAACAGTAGTTACTACACAATGGATACAATACTTGTATAACGACGCTGTCCTGCATCAGACGATTAACGTTGGGGAGCTCGGAAATCGGTTCGGGAGCTCGGAAATCGGAAGGTGTTCTGTTATCCGTGGGCATGTGACAAGAGAATCGTAACTAACTGCGTGCGACGTCGCGCCCGCAAATGACGATGGTTCTAGGCAGTAGATGGCGACAACAGGCAATTTAGAACCGAAAATAGTCATGAAAGCCTACGATGACGGGACCTATGTAAAGTCCGGTGCTCCAATCGACCGGTAAAAACGAGTTAAGAAAACGCCGCGAACATCGCCGTGCGCGGCGGAGCGGCTTTACGATTCTCTTGCCCATCTCCCGTTATTAGTTGATATCATCGCAATCAGCCGAGCGGTGTCAGTAGGGGCGGAATGGCCCGCCTTCGGCTGCCTCGCTCTACCAATGGTTATTGATTACTGAGTGATTTAGGAAGAAAACCAGTAGAGAAAACGACGCCGGTGGGCTTGCTCCATCCTTCTTGGCTAACCCGACTGTTTGCTATATCAACTGTGAGGCTGCGTTCATACTTTGCTGCAGCGTCCACCAGCAACCAGTAGCATCCATCAGGGTTCCAGTCGTACGGCAACTTTAGCGACTAGGAAAGTATAGATATCGACCTAGCGTCTGCCACCGGCTGCCAGCGTCCAGCAGTGACCAGCAGCCTCTCGATGGCTAGGAATGGTAGCTATGGCTGCCAGCGGCCACAAACGACGAGCAGCAAGCAGACTGGTGATAGAGTGTATGGGGGTATGCAATAGGAGGGTACCGGCTGTATGTTACATTCCTATCGCGAGATACACTCTAGCAGCAGTCTGCCATTCTCTTATCTTCCCATACTCTACCAGCAGTCTGCTACACTCCTATCGCCCCATACTCTAGTACACTCCCACACGCCGCTGTTCGCCAGTAGGCGCTGGCAGACCATAGGTCGATACCTATACTTCTCCGGCCCTCGAGACGCTGCTGGTCGCTGGTAGACGCTGGCAAACGCTAGATCGATATCCATACTTTCCTTGTCGCTGACGCTGGTGGACGCTATTCGTCGCTGGTGGAGGCTGCCGCGAAGTAGGAACGTAACCTAAGGTTATCTTTTCGTGTGTATGAACAAAAAAGTAATCAATATGTATTTCTTAATGTACAACTCATACCACGATGTACATTATGACAAACTCTGTTGATGTATCGATGGAAGCCAACAAACTAGCCGGCTACCTTAACTACACAGCGCACTGTCAGGAATCAATATGCATCAATATGACTGATGTCAAAGTTTAGCGGCTCAACGCGGAAAATGGCACAAAAACAGTGTTTCGAAGAAACATTTTGAGATGAGAATGAAATCGATTGACATTAAAAAATAAAAAATGAAACCAGGGAATTAAGTTAGTGATTCACTAAAAATAGTGAGGAAAGATGAGAGTTGAACACCTCAAAGAGAATTTTCATCGCACAAAAACGACTCAACCGTGCTTGCTCTGTATTAGATGCGATTTTGAGACAATGTATTGCACATCGATCATAGCATGATAAGGGGCAGAAAAATTTCAAAAAATCAATGAACATGTAATGCAATAATTAATAATAAACAGTGGCTTAATTGTCCTTCTTCATGAAAGCACCGAACATTTCCACCGGCACCGGGAAAACGATTGTTGAATTATGCTCAGCCCTGAAAATCCCATAAATAGAGATTGACATTTCCAAGGATTTAGCTACTGAAGGAAAAAAGAAAGAAAAGAGAAAAAATGATGACTTTGCGATAACTTTGGGTGCGCCACGCGTTCTGCTTCCATTAAAAAGGCACTGCGAATGCCATTAGGCCTAAGCAATGACTGGGCCAATGGAGCGCGGGTGGGTGGTCCAGTACGTTTTCGCTAAGAATGCGCTGAAGACTTTTTCCTCAAAACATGGGCCATAATTTATTCCAAAGTTTCCCACTGGAATGGATTTATTTGAATATTTACCCCCCACCTCCCCCCCCCCCCTCACCCCACTCTGGGGTAGATTGATCACCTGAAAAAGAAAACCACACCACTTCTCTGGTACCTACACCACAGGCGCCGAAGCCTAAGCACCTCGATATATCAAATGTACGGAAAGTGGGCCTAAGGAGTAGTCTGATCCCTGAACACGAATATCAGGTGTGTCTGACGGGAGCAAATGTGGTACGAATGCCGGAGTAAATACTGCAGCGCTAGAAGTTTTCGCTTCGAGATTGGACTGCGATATTCGTGGTTAAGGAATCAGAGCGCCCATGGGGTGAGGTTCTACCATTGGAGACTTTTCGCAAACGAAACACGGCCTAAAGTTGGAAGGGTACGGTAGTAAAGAAAGAAAACAATACAGTCTTGTTCGCTGCGGACTCTGGGCTGCCATTGTTCAGGCGAGCAAGCGACAAATAAATGGTGGAAAATGTGTTGGCGTCGCGTCAAATGCAGCCCCCTGACACGCCCCGGCATCCGCAGCGAACAAAACTGTCCCAGGTTTCCTCGTCATTGTGGTGTAACAGGTCATCTCCGCTCAACACACAACAGACCTCTGCCACAACTGCGCTACAGTGACTTTCTAATGTTAAGGTCTGTGACAGACAGTGCTGATGTCCTACCACACGAGTCTGTACTCAAGCGCGGCGAGTTGGCTGCCCTGGGCAGGAATGGACCCGAGATTTGACTTACGAATAGTACTTGGGATAAGTGGCACTACATGCCATAACACCACTCTGGGCACGTCGTTAGCTGGAAATCCTCAGCATGGGAGTCGTATCTCCCCGGTGGAGGGAGAGCTCGTACTCGCTTCTGAGTTCGAGTTGTTAACGTTTCTTGGTTTCTTTTTTCGTTTTCCAGTGCCACTGACGCTATATACACTCCTTATCCCTACGACGAAGTAGGCGTGGCATTTGAACATTGTATAGAATAGGTCATTCAAGGGATATTCGAGTTTGGGACAACTCTAATCTTGTTCTGCAAAGCATGACCACAATTGTCTCAAAATGAAAATTTCTCACCAAGAGCACAGTCACCGCCGTTAGTTAGAGGGAGCAGCCACGCCTACAGCCATATACCGCCGCAACTCCCCCTCGACGATAGTTTTTTTCGGGAAAGGCTTGCGAACTTCTTACGGAAGAGGTAGAAATATGGGGAAATTGAGGCGGTAAAATGGTAATGGCTGGATGGAAAGGGGCGGGGGGGGGGGTGGGAATCGCAACAGCGTAAGAAAATCTATTTTTGAAGGGTGGGTCGCAATAATCAAAATTTTTCTCCAACAGCGGGGCGTGCCCTGACACCACCTCCTCCCCCTCCCCATTGATCTCCGCTAAGAAATTGAAGAAGAAGAAGAGACATACGCGATGCTGTTGAGCGCCTGTAGATGCCGAAGTTGTAAAGCGACTGGATTTGCTTGGATAACATCCGCTGCTTCCTTCAACGCACGAGAAGCCTGAAAAAGGGGATATAATTGATAAAATGTTGCAGAAAATGTCAAAATATTGAAGAAACTCACTTTTTGTCTCTCCTTCAGCTGCGACTACTTTTGCTCGAGCTTCTCGAGCTGCTTCGGCTTCAGCAGCCATAGCACGTGTCAGTTGCTGAGGTAGCCGGATATCCTTCACTTCAACTCGCTCTACCTAAATTAACACAGAAATAGAAAAATTGCAGTAAGTGCAGTTTAGCTGTAAACTCTTGCGACTAACAGTAGCAAGATTAGAGAGCACTGGGTCTGCCGTTACACTCCAGATCGCGTAGATAAAGGGGGCGTGGCTGCGTACTAGTTCGAACATAGCCGGGGTGCCTTTTTTGGAGGATATTTCCATTTTATATGTCCTCTCTTATGCTGGACTGTACATGATTACAACTGTTTCAAACAGCAACATTCCATATACAGCGCAGCCGCCGCCGCGTCCAGCTGTGGTGCGCAGCCACGCCTTATCCATCTCCGGGATATGGAGTGCACTTGGACTTTTTTCTAGGAAGGTAGTGATTGTTGGAATCCGTTAAGCTGATAGATCTAAAAATTATCTAGAGAGTGAAATTATCAAAATTCTCCTTTGATAAAGAACAGGGTTCCGATTTACTTATAATCAATTCGTTGCTGAATTTGAGAGTTGAGGAGCTAAATACTGTTCCACTTTCCACGAATAAGTGTAGTGCGGATGGACTGGGCACAACCTTTGGTAGGGATTCAACATGGTTTTACTATTCAATAAGCCCTGCTGCCTTTTTCAAACGGGCTCGGGGTGGGTTAAGAGCTACGTAAAGGTGACATGCTAGCTCCGAAAACGAAGCAATCGGTTTTTCCCTTATCGCTGTGCTAACTGGCTCAACCGAAAAGCCGAAGAAGCTGTGGAAACGTCCCGTGTAAGACCGCCCTTTTTCCATGGGAGAGGCGAAGCTCTGTTGGAGAATCCGAGAGGCTAGACAGGATCAGAAAGAGAGAATGCAAACAAGCAAGATGAAAGATACCTTTCCACCTAGCACCTTAAGCTTACGAATTCTAACACGAAACTTTGAAAAGATTGTCCACTCCAGTCTACACTACTGTCCCCCCCCCCCCTCTCAGAGCCTCGATGAGCCTCGATTCTTATGAGTGAACATGCCTCTTCTTATGAGTCAACTCCAACTGACTCTATTCTTACCAGCCTTTGACTTTTCTAAAGTGGTGGTGGTTAGAGGCGAAATTCAGTGCAATTCGGAAGTCAGCGCAGGCAATTACGCTGTCTTGCAGTAGACCAGAGTGTTGACAGAGAACCAGTTGACATGACTGCTCAGTTAAAAACTGCACTTTCAGATTTTGAGTTTTGAGCGAGTTGGGTCCAGTTCTCTGCATTCAGTAGGTGCCATGTTGAACTTTTATGTGCCTTTGTTTAAGCACGTTCTGCGGCAGGGAAATCTCTATGGGAGTGTGTACTGGAGTGCGAGATATGAGATCGATCTCCGGCTGGGGTCAAATCTTTTGCCTTCGAAGGCAGTTGGGCCCCAAGACGACTAGGATCAATACGCCCGGAAGGATGGAATTCCGCGACTCTGAGCAGGCGCTGCTTAGCGGCTCCTCCGAGGAAGGTGATCTTATAAGAGCCCTATCAAGCCAGAACATTTCGACCCAAACGCCCGCCATGCCCGCCCGCCCACAAATGGACGACCGTTCCTGCCGCTCGTATTCATCCATTTGCTAAGCAAATTATGAAGCGAGGGGATTGGTATGAAGCGGCCCTGATGCTGCATGCATGTATGGGTACACATATGCAGACGTACCTTCGGTAGCGGTGATTGGCAAGATGCCTAAGGGAAACTCGTCCGAAATCGATTTTCAAGTCACTGAGAACGGATGCTTTTTCTTCGCAGGATTTTGACCGTTTCACTCCGTTCTTTCGCCATTTCCCCACTATACAGCGCCCTACTAGCATTTTAGGCCGAGTAGGAAACCATCGTGCCACTGCCTCTAAGTGCAACCAGTCAACAGTTAACAGCAACCAGTCATGCTAACAGCAATAACTGGGAAGATATGGAAGTCTGAAGGTCTCCTACAAAGTGGCTCTATTTCAAAGATAATTCTTGTGAAATACGGTAAGTAATAATCCCTAAGCGACTATCTGTGGGCGACTATCATCCGCAGGCTTTCAGCGCGTATCACATTTTACATATCACATTTCAGCCTTTCCGCTTAGGAAGTAGAGTTTTGGCTATTCCGTTGAGGTACTCCCGGATATTGTGGTTGTCACTGGTTTCTTTGAAGCCAGCTCGTAGATTACAAAACTGCGCCTACACAATCTCTCAAAGTGGAGTCGAAACAAGCCAAACGCAAAGTGTGCATGAAAATTGAAACCATCAACTTCCGTCTATTCTTACGCAATTATTGTGCACTGGTTGAAAAAAATATCGTATAACGTCGGAAACATCTCCAGTAGGACCCCTCCAACCTTATACAACTACACGGGTAAAAGGCCGAAAGTCTGCGTGTTGAAATAAGTCCAGTTGGCTGACTGATTTTGATGAGCCCTACGGGAGTCGAGCAAGAGAATCTTAATTTCCGCAGCTCCGCCGCGCGCGGTGATAGGCGCGACGTTTTTAACCCGTGTTAACCTGTCAATCGGAGCACCGGGCTTCATGTAAACTCCGTCATTGTAGACATTCATGACTATTTTCGGTTCTGAATTGCCTGTTGTCGCCATCTACTACATGGAACCGTCGACTTGCGGACGCGACGTCGCACGCACGCCTACGCGGTAAATTACGATTCTATTGCCACATACATGAACCCTGATAACCCACCAAGAGACAACGGAGCATCAGTTTCATGCTACTTGCAAGATACTTGACTGAAAGACAGACTTTGAAGGTGGAGTCTGGAGACGTTCACGGGAAAAAAGGAGGTGTCGGTGGAGCAACTTTTCGCTTTGACTCGTTCACCCTACAAATTTCAGCCGCAAAACTGGCACCAGTTTGTCCATCGCGGACCACACTGCTTTTTCTGCACAACCTTTTGCATTTTCATATTCCATCGTGGACCGTCTCTTTTGGTAATTAGACAGCATTCGGGCCTCGTTCAACGGCTAACCATTTGGCAAGGCTATCGTGGGCCGAAGGATAAGATCTCTCGACGCTAACAGCTACCGTTCACCTTCAGCACCTCTAAGTAGCTCTCGCACGTTTCGGAAACAGGAAAGGATAGGTTCCTGATAATTGAAGGCCAAATAGCATTGCAAAACACGCCGCCCCCGACATTTTGATCTAGTCAACTTGTTTTTCGGAGTACTAGGGTTAAATTGGTCCCTCGAGGCAGACTCCGTTTTACTCTGACCCACTTCCCATAGCATCTCTAACTACCCCGACATCTTCACATGACATGCAGTGGCATATTTGTGTTTTGCGACATGTACATCAAAAATATGCTGCAGATTGCACATGATGTGACACCTGGGCAAAACAATATCCTAGGAAGAACCCGTCCTCCAGGGTCCAACCTCACTCCTCTGTAGCACTAACGCTGGATGTTTAGTATGAAGTTTTGTCCAAAAAGTAGGATGACAACGGATGAATTGAATCAGGGTCTTTACCATTCGCCTCAAAACTGCCACATGAGAATACTCTTGTAAGACTGCCGCTACCCCAATAAATATCTCTTGGGACACATCCCAGTAACGATCATTCGGCACATCAAAGCTGAAGAAGCTGCCAAACAATTCCACGATGAATGACATGAAAAATATGGTCCAGAGAAAAGAGCTTCATGGAAAAGAGGCAAGGGCTGCGGAAACAAGTATCCGGCCTCTTGGGCAATATAACAAAATATCACAATGCCGAAAAAATTCACTGGAGTGGCAATCACAAAAGGAGACAGGGTTGTCTAGAATACAGCGGAGTCGTGTTTGGTAGCTAGAAAGAGGGGTCGCATTGGCACAAGAGAACTTTTTTTTAAATTTCTTGCATTTGTCTATATTTTATTCAGTGAAGGTCGCGGCCCATGAATTCACGTAAACATCATCAGGTGAGTCCAACTTACTACGCGAAGTACGGTACGTACTATTTCTACTACTTTTACGGTGCAACACTTCAGCCGATTTTCGGCATTTCGGAACGTTCCGCCTTTTTCTTCAGAATTATAGAACCCCATCTTGGAAAGCTATACTAGTTCCACACTTGGCTAATCCGCTCTTGTTCACCTTTTACGGTTAGTTGTAACCCTGAGAAACTGTCTGAAAATCAGACAAACCCAAAATTGAAGCCTATTTGGACCAGGGATTGCAGTCGACCAGGTACGGCACCAGCCCATAGACTAGAGTTGCGTGGTTTGAGTGAGTGCTACCAGACCGTTCCTTCTCAAGTAAGGGTTAACTTGTTTAATGCGGCCAGTAAAAGCTCAAGATAATGGCAGTTATACAGCAGATTAAAGAGATTTCCAACCTTGACACCCCAGTGTTCCGTGCCTTCGTCCAAAATCGTTTCACACAATTGTGCGATAGCCTCTCGTTCAGTCAACATCTCTGTCAATGTTTTCATACCTAAATAGTATCATACAGTATCACCCAAATTAGTCAAATACCGTAATGATAATAAACAATAAAATAGAATATCAAGTAAAATAATATACAAACGGTAATAAGTAGTTTGAGCACTTACCCAGAGCATTCCTGAGAGTTGTTTGGGCCAAGAGTTTGGTCGAATAAATAGCGTCATCCACATTATTAACAGATGCAATAGGATCAGACGTTCGGAAATAGACTACAGCATCCACGGATACTGTCACTGAGTCCTTCGATAAGATTTCTTGTGGCGGTACAGCATATGAAACCACCCTGGAAAACTGACTGTACTATTTCGCAGTACTACCAGGAGCAGTTGCCACACAAGCAGGGAACATCATCGTTAGTAATTCTACAACAGGGGAGTTGCATTTTGTCTTTGGTGGGAGGGGGGGGGGTCGTCGGTCCGAGAGAATTTTTCCAATTTTTCCTGTTTCACGAACGCTATAAGGGATGGAGTCGTATTTGCTCCTTGTTGGGAAAGTGAGGGGGATGTTAGCCTCTTGACAGAAATCTGCGGCGTAGGGAAAAAGTTCCGGTTGCTGAATTTCCGCCGTTTTTCGTTTCTGTTATACAACACCACCACCACCACCACCCCCCCCCCCCTCAACTACTAACGGCAGTGTTCTACATATTTCTGCAACTGAACAAAATAATCAATAAATAATAAGAAATGGTCAAAATAATCAATAAATAATAAGAAATCAATTCGACATATGTGGCAATACTTATCAAATAATATCATATACAATGAATCATAAGAGGTGATTGAACAAAACTATTGGGACTGAAATAAAACAAATAAGTAATAATTGATAGATTTTACATAAATGAAATTGACTAAACAACCAATATATTATTATTATTACTGTTACACTGGAAAACGAAACAGGAATGCAATAAATTCAGACAATGAGATACGAACTGTGTACAGGTGCTACACATAAGTATCAGTGAAAACAGTTTGCCCGAACCGACAGAGCCTCAGATCCCTCAGCTGTATAATACGTATCATGAAAACTGGAGGCGCGCCCACGGACTCAGCTGTGAGCGCCGAGGCAGCTGCACATCTGTGGAGTTTATCCGGTTCGGTAGAAAGTCTCTTGAGCCGTAAACAGTGTGTTGTAGGAGAGTGCAAGCGACTGGGCGGTTTTGTCATCTACCCTTTCACGGAAACATCGATAGGCAGCCGTAGCTCGCAGGTCATTCCGACAACACGCCCCTCCAGGCGACCTGGTATGGCGCCTAACTCATACCAAAGATGAACACTTTCATTCGAAAATGCCTTTTTTAGAAAATCCTTCTGCAGTCCAGGCACACATAGGTACACGCTTCGATTAGGAACAGATGCAAGTGGGCCCAGAAAGGCCTAGTAGTCCCCCAACTACACTGAAATGTTCGCAAGTGGAGGGGACATTAGCGTCTGGTGTTTACTTCACCCTTAGACCTTCCATCTTGTCATCATCTGGCATGCCTTCTATGCTCCCAGTGTGTTTCGCCTAAATGAATATCCTGAATCTACCGCAAAAAGTAGCGCTCCGTTCAGAGCACTTTCAACGGGTTATTTGCATTTTTCTTCACTGCCACGCCACTTAGCACCCCATTTTCGCTATTGATCGCAAAACCCCACAACAGCCTTTGTGAAAAGTGTCTTCAAGTGTGTTTTCAGTAGTCTTCAAAAGACAAATTCACTCACCTAAGATCGATTTTTCTATATGTATCGATACATGGAATAATGAAGATCATTCCAGGACCTCGTGCACCTCCAAACACTAGTCGTCCAATTCGGAATATTACAACTCTTTCATATTCTTTTATAACCTGCAACGTACATGAACATGGTTGCGTATGTGCAAGCCTCTACATGGGCCGCGCGCAGTTGCGACGCGACGCACTAAGTGGATCAATAAGCGCCCAATCAACGACACCACACAAAGAAATCACCAATTTTGATTATTTGCTCACCTTCAGACATACACACATAGAAAATGGGAACGTAAGGATTATAAGGAGCCACGATAGTGCCACAAGTGCGTAACCGAATATTGTTCCAATCGTTTCATAGTCCGGCGGGACATCCTGAATCTATACTAGTAATTTCGTCGTGTTTCAGAGATCATTTGCTGAATAAGCTTAAGGGGTATAAACTGTAGAGAAGAAAGAGACCACAGGGCTTGACATCATGCACGAAAATAAAGTGCACATGCTTCACAGACAAAACGGCATGCGTTTTGTTTTTTTAATTTTAATCCTTGTGCAGGAAACGCTGGTCCATTCACTTTTACAGCAATGGGGAATATTGTCCGCCAATATGCTTTATATCTTGGGCTCAGCGAAACAGTGCTAGATGACTACCTAATAAAATAAAAAAGTTTCTCAAAATAAAATAGTTGAGCCTAACTTTGCGTTGGTATTTGCGAGGCCCTCTTCACTTAGCTGCTTGCATAGCGCTCAGATGGTGAGGATGGAGGCTGGCAGAGAAATTAGACTTTAGCATAAAAAAAACAGTAGAAATATTGAATGCACTACTATTTACTTACTATTACTTGAGAAGTTCGCTCGCGCATAAGGTGTCGAAGACCGCAGGCAAACAGAGTGTCCCAGTTTTACTGGAAAGTGTGTGGCAAAAGCGCTGAGAGTTTGTGATGGGCTGATATCTCCACCTGGACCAGGTATACATACCTATATCGCGGAACTACTGCAGGTGTGGCTCCCGCCCACGGTTTGTCGGTCTCTCGCCCACGCGCTCAATACTTCGTCGCCTATCAGGCTCATGCAAGACGCAAAACAGACTATAGAAAAGGGAAGAGGAGGGTCATTTTAGATACCGACAGTATCCTCTGCTTTTTTATTAGAATTAGTGTACCTACTAACGGTTAGCACTGTTGTTTTCATGCATGCCACGTGCCTTTAAGTTCGTTAAATTAGCAGCTACCAAGGAATCGGCTGCATTATAGTCCACAGTTGACAATATTACCACCAGTGGTTCCTTTAACCGTCCACTACTGGTAGAAAAACACTGTGCTCGGCGGGCTTGCAACCCTGCCTCGCCTGGTTGCAACCACGGCGCATCATCGTTGGGGATCCCCAACGGAGGGGTCGTACTTGGTCGTTATTGCGGGAAGGGGAGGATTGGATTCGAGAGAAATATTCGCGGCGTTGGCAGGATTTCTTCCCGGTTGTCAACTTTTCGCGCTTTTTCCTGTTCCGCATGTGCTATATACCCGCTCCTCCTCCCCCTCGCCCCCGCCACCCCCTTCGACAGTACAATTCTGGGGAGAAAGTAGGAAAATGGGGAACTCCGGAACAAGTGGAAAAAATGGTAGGAAGCTGGGAGAATCTGAGAAAGTGGCGGGTAGGATGGGAAAGGGAGAACCTATTTTTCTCCCCGCTTTCGCAATTCACATGTGCCCCCCCCCCGGCTCGACATTCGATCGTATCAGAGGAGGGAACTAGGGAACTACATAGTGAGGGGGGGGTCGTATCAAGCCGCCTTTAAGCAGGGGCTCGTACGGTTACGTGACATCTTGAACTTTTGGTGGCGGTCCTGTTACGAAACCCTGTGACGCAGACGGATAGGGGGCAGCGCCTGCCAAAGCATCAAAACGTGCAAAAAACGTATGGTGAGCCCAGGAAGCGGGATTTTTTGAGGGGAGGGGACTCCGGGGTGGGGGAGCCGCTTACCATGTGTGAAAAGCTGGAATATATAAGGTCGAAATGATCACAGAACGCAACAAGGGCGAGAGAGTGCAGAGAAAAAGAGATGATCGACGCATTCAAAGGGATTAAACTCAAGTTGTCCGTAGACCGAGCTCGTACGGAGTCGACCGAAATTTCCCAACTATTGATGTACCCTGGTTGGACTGTACGCTCTCTTTCTGTTCACTGAGGGATTGTCTGGAAGCTACTTTTGAAACATTTATCATTATTATACTACTATTATTACTAGACCCAGAAAAATGATCATATAATGAGTTCCTCTGAGGTCGTCGAACATCCAACAGCATTTCGAAGGAACTTTCTTATCAAGGGCACATTATAGTGATCAGGTTTTTTTTGGGTAACGGTGCTCCCAATGTGGGGAGCAGATATGAGTCTGATCAGCTACTAAAGGTAGTAGAACTGCGCGACGCCACTAGCCTGAAGGGCCGCAGCTGCCCACCCCCCCCCCCATGAGGAGGCCCCAAGGGTGACATGCTCCGATTTCAAGGCACATCTGGACTACATATTGCTTTGCTTGGTTATGCGATCTACGTCAATCGTCACGCACGACTCTCAAGTGCTAGATTTATTCAGTCACAGCTTCACAAAAAGCCGGCAAAGAAATCGAGCAAGTAGCGTTTTGATGGAATCGGCTTCTCCGCAGTCTAGAAGATGCAAATCGAGTCATGAAATCACCTGGAAAACTCCAAACTACTCTAAGAGATCTTCCAGGCCAACTCAGCCCATTTGTTTGAATGGGTCAGCTTAGGACCCGTTTCCCATCGTCCAGTGTCCATGACCATTTCTTCGGATACTTAACCCTCAACCTCGCATGTAATTATCATCGACTCAGTGTTTTTATCCCCTCGTGCAAATGTGATAGTAATTATGAAAATCCCAACGCTCGGAAAGTAGTAATATCATTGCCTGGGTGGGTTGGATTCAATCCACGAGTATGTGAGCTACGCGTCTTTCAGCCGCCTTTCCTCTGTGCAGAAATTAATGGAACCTTAAAAATAGAAATTCTCATGGAAACGTGGTCGTTAATGTAAGGCTCGTAGCAATGCGTATTAATTGCTTTCCGATACTAATCACGTTTTCGCATGGATGAAAATGGGAGACAGAGCGACAACAAAGCTTCCGAGCTTAGTAGAAGAGGAAAAGCCCTACGGCTTTCTAGAACAAATAATGAATGGCAGTGGCAGAAACAGCAAATATTATGAAGTAATAACAAAATGACTAACATAAAAACAGTCAAAAGGGCAGTTTCGCAAGCCTTAGCTCCGCATGCTCAAGTATTAATTGAACTGGCAGTGTTGTTGATCTAATCAAAAGGACTAAATAAGAGAATGAACTGAAAACCAGGCACACCTCTGTTTTTCTCGGAGGGGGGGGGACAGCTCAGTGCTTTTGGTTTTTTCGCGATAATAGTAATATTTTTTAAAATTATTCTAGAGGGGTGGCGCTTCAAGCACTTCCCTGCCATTCAAAATCGTAGTGGCACCAAAGGTAGTGTATGTTAAATTGGTCGGTCTGGACAGGATCTTGCGGGAGCCCGTACCCAACCATCTCAGAATTGGTACGACCCCCTGTCCCCCCAAAGATTACCCTGCCCCCCCCCCGCCCCATCCTCCAAAAGTTTCAGAACCTATCTCAACTTTCTACCACCTCTCCGGAGGTCTTTCCAAAAATTCCTCTTTTCCCAAACAAAAAACTGCTGTGGGATGGTGAGGGTGGGGAAAGGAAGGTGGAGGGGTATATAGCACACCTAAAACACCTTGGAACCAGAAACCATTTTTCTCCAAGGATTTCAACCCCTCCCCATCTCCCCTCTCAGAAGCCTCTCCCAACTTCCTACCAGCCCCCTTGCTGGGAAACCCCAACGTACGAAGTGCTTCGACATCGGATCAACATAGTGATTCGCGAAATGTTCAGTTCTGCATGTCCACATGTTTGGGGATTTTGTCGCCCCGCGGACTTGATTTTTCTGAGTGATGTCATTTGTCAGCTCATGATTGATGGTTCGTTCTTTCTTTCCCTGGTATTCTTCCTTTCGCAGAACGTCTGAGGTATAGACAAATGGGATGAAGCTACTGTCAGATGGGCAAACTGCAAATAATTTAAAGAATATGAGATGGAAACTTTCAAAATTTGTGCGTCGGAAAAACGGGTCATCGCATTCTTTTTGATGACCATATTTTACTTTTATGAAGAAGTTCGCAACGAAGGGACCAGGTGGAATCAACTTCATCCATCGTTGAAGATCCCCCACGGAGGGGTCGGTATTTGGATGCAAGGGCAAAGGGTCGTATTAGGTTGTAGTGTCGTATTAGGTTGTTTGGTTTCCCCATTTTAGGCTCGCTTCACCCAGACGCTGCTCGCCGGATTTGTAGGAGGTAGGTTACTCATGGTAAGTGTCTTTTATCACGATGGCGGAGTGGGGGGGGGCTCTGACTGAACAGAGGTTGGCCACGGAAAAACCATTTCCGATTGTTCCACAAAAAATCGGAAGAGCGCAGTGGCCAGAGGGGCTCCCCTCACTCACCGCTCTTACCGTCACCTAATAGGGGGGGGGGGAGCTTCTGTGAGGACTAATCTTGGTTCAGGCGTTTAGGCATGCCTTGTTGACGTAACCCTCTGCGGATTTATTAGCCTTTACAAACACGACTGCATATGACATGTGTGGCGCATATAAGAGAGCTGATATGTAGTTACTAACCAGTTAGCGACATTTTGCTATTAACATCACTTTCACAAATACATAGTAAAGAACATAGAAAGGAATTCATACAGAATCAATTGCTTTTTCGAATTGCTATGTATCCCGGGAAAAGACTTGATGAATGAGGGGGAGATTACTGGTCATGTCATTTTACATTGGAATTAACCCCGCTTACCTCTGGGAGTTAATACAAACTAGTTGTTAAGGCATAGCAATGAAATACCAGTTTCAGAAAATGGGTGGGCTATTACAGCGGGCTTCTATCCTCTGGTCAAACATTCCTAAAGAGGCTAGACCCACACGAGGCTGTCAACCTCAGGCTCAGATGGTCGGCCACATGTCGAAAGACGAGCTGTTCCTTCCCCTCCTCCTCCTATCCTCTCTCTTTTCCCTTGTCACCTTTTCTACCCTCTAATGAAGGTGCGACAAACTTTTCTTGCGAGCACCAGCTATTCATAACTCATAAACTAACATCACACTGAGGAACCAACTATTACTGTAATAATTACACCCCAGGGACTCGAGGGTCTGTCGAGTTCAGTATCTCCCAGATAGCATATGGAGAAAGTAACGATTGGAAAGATTGCCAACACCCAACCCCCTCCCCGACTTTGTGATCCGAAATCCGCCCAGTCCAGCATTTTTTGGCGTAACACTCATTGTTCGCTTCGCTTGCAAAAATTCTTCTAAGTATCCCGGCAACTAAGGAAAACCCGGGTGAAAAATCGGTTCCGACGTTACCTTAGAGATTTGTGACGAAGACGAAGATGACATGAACTGGATTCGTTCGGCGTGCAGCGAGTGTTTCGGAGAGCGATGGGCGGAGCAAGACCAGATGGCCGTTACTTCATAAATCACAACTACGGAAGCCTATTCAGCTGTTTCCCATAAAATTTTACCTTCGTGAGAGTTTAATCTGTCTGATGAGAACCGAAAAGTATAATAATTCTTGCTCAGGTCAAATTAACCCACATTACGCTGGTCTTCATCATACTGGATTGATTGCAGCCAATAATTGGCACAAACATCATTAATTAATTGAATGGATTTATCCAGGTAATTAAACTAGTATGATCTCTAACATTAGTGTTCAGATGAAAGACTTGTAAGTTCAGAAGAGAAGAGATCAAACTATGGAGAACGATAAAGAACCCGTTGGATAATTGAAGTAAGCGGTGAAGGATTATGGACTTGGACCCGGAAATGACCTAAGCCTTTTCGACTGGACGTAATTGTCAGAGATCCAATTTACGCTTCTATCTAAACTATGGAACTATTTATTCATTTCTTTTGAATTCTTTTATATGTACTACGTAGTCAGTATATCGGGGAACTGATGTTCAGCGGTACACCTGAAGGATCTTGAATTCTGCATTGACCAGGTTTCTTTTATGGTAGGTTACCACTCCCATATTAAAAGTCCTAATGACCTAGGCTTGCAAGGACCATTCAATGGTCGAATCGAGTCCTG